CTGTTAAACATCTACTATAATGAAATTTACTCTCAGTAGCTTTAAAGTCAGCCAATGTAAACTCAAAGGTTATTAAAAAAATTCAAAGGTACTCATGGCCCAGCAGCAGAAGAATAAATATTACTGTTAAGAAAGCTGATGATAAAGTTGAATAAAAATCTAAGTCTGATTATGAAGGTAAATTAAATCTCTGACAGTGATCATTACACAGTGTGGCTCTAATTCCTCACTTCACCATCTGTGTCGCAGTTTCACGTCTCCAAAATGGGCGTATGCATGGGTCAGAGCTGGCATGAGGCACCGCGCATTTTCACGTCAAGTTTGGATTTTATAAATCACAACCTTGGCATACAAAATGGCGTACGCAAGTTTCTGGGCTCAAATTGTGCGTACGCCAGTTTTATAAATCCGACCCCTGGACTTTATTCAAGAGATTCTTCATTTCTTTAAGAGAAATCAAGTTATTTGGCCTCAATCCTATCATTTTAAAGGTCACATAATTTGACCATCAAGCGTGTGTCCATCAGAGAACCCTTATTAAGAATTGGAATCAATATTCTACACAAAACACACTTGTAGAAAAAGGACAAACCATCTGTACGTATAAACCAGATAAAAAGGGCAATAATCAATGACAAAGCTATAGGCATAGAACTAAACCAGTCATCCAAATAATATTGAAAAAATACTATACATAGGATGTACAAGGACAGTTTTTTAAGCAAATATTCTTACAAGGAAAGAAAAATCATTCAAGAAAGAAGGTTTAAAAAAATGTTCCAACAGGGCAGCAAACATTCCTCTAAATGAAAAAAGAGGTGAACTTTTTAAGCCATGAAGAAAAAAATGAATGTCACCAACACATTACTCTGTGAACGAAATGATGGCAGCTCTATGCTGTGGAGAAATTTGTCAATATTAGGACATGTGAAACTTGGTCAGTTGAAAGAAAACAATGTAGAATATTGACAAAGACTAATTTTATAGGACTGGGATTAATGTTTGTATTTATTTAATTTTATTGCATGCTGACTGTAGGCAAACAAAAAGCAATATGTCCCAAAAGAGATATGCCACTAATTGTTGCAAATGTTTAAAGTTTTTTTTACTAAAATCTATACATATGCTAAAATAATTTTTATTTGTTTATTTTGCTTAAAATGGACAAGCAAGAGTCAAGTTGTGCTGCAGCTTCATAATAAAAAAGCCTGCACCTGTAAGAATATCTATAGGCACTGTACAATATAAACAATTATTAAACTAGTCTAAAAAAATCACCCCTAAGTGCTTAAATGGGAAATAAACATTTTTCCAGACTATAGTATAACATTATTCATCAAATAATTTCTACTTTGAGTTACTATTTTCCAGAGGCTTCTTTAAACGGGCCAGATGTGGCATCTGTGTAGCATATCCAAACACTATGTGAATAAATTGAATCCAAATCATCATTTCAGGCTTCTGGTTTTGCATAGCTAGTTATTGTTAATTGGACTGTGAGCAGTGTCAGAATAAGTCTGAGCAAACAGAAAGAATCCAGGTGCTGCTGCTGCTGTTTTTGTGCTGCTGATCAGGCTTTCATTGTGCAGCTGATGTTTGTTGAGCAGAAGTGATGCAGTCAGTCTGTTTGTGCCCTGGGAAGATGCACCCTTAAAACTCTGTGTTAAACAGACCATTGTTTTATGCATACTTATGTGTTTGAAAATGAGCAAAGTAAAATAAAGGTGATACCAGTTTGGTAATTCTGCATATTTTCTTGGTGTGGAATCCCTCTTTGGTTGGTTGATATGTTTACTCTGCAAATATTTGGATTTGTTATTTGTACAAGAGAGCTGCATTCCCGTGCTCTGATTCTGTCAACCATGCATTAGCTCATACATGGCAGCACATGGTGTGGCGTGAATGCCATGAGTTTAGATAAGACTTTGGCATTGAAGAGACAGCCCAGTTTGCATTTGGACAAGATATAAACACACTCACACACACAGATATTGGTTATGGATGACCATCTGATTCAGTCTGAACATAAAGTTTCAGCATCACTGAACAGACCCCAGCTGGACAATCGGTGACCTCTCTCCTCACACATGGGAGATTCTAAAGATGAAACAGATGAGTTTTTTTCTTCTTTTTTTTTGTATCACTAGTAAAATATGGACACGTTGTAGGTTTCAGCAAAAAAAAAAAAAACCTACAGTAAATAATCACTTTACAAATCATATAGAATTCCTGATTAAGGTCAAGCAGACTCATAAAAGACTATTAAAAACCTGAAACAGCTTTGGTGACATTCAGTCAGTAAATGGTCATTTTTGAAGGCACAGGCAGGAGAGGTTGATCAGTGTGAAAACTGCATCAGTTAATTTATTTTAAAACTGTTTTAGATTTTATATAACTTCAACTGCATTTAATCTGTTTTATTATGTCTGTTAATTAGAGAAATGGCAAGTAACCTTGTCAGGAAACTTTGTTATGCTAATAATGTACTTTAAATGCAAACATGAATGTGGTTTAAAGTCAAAATAGTAGTAGAAAAAAAAATGCAGTTTTTATTTTATTCTTTTAACACTGGCTGAGGTGAACGTGAAGTATTGTTGTGAACTTATAAATCAAAATATAAGCTTATTTAGATATGATGGTTGCCATGTCTCATGTAATTTCCAGATCATTATCACAACATGAAGTTTAGATGGTGGACTCAATGCAAAATGGTTTTGGCAACTGGGAAATTTTTGACATTTTCTGCACTAAATCTGAGTGATAACTACAGGTTTTGCTACCGGTCACACTGCCTTCTAGACAAGGAGGCTATTTAAGCAAGAGGTGCACCCATGTCCACTGTCGCTTAAAGATTTGAATAGTGAATATTTGATGTTTTTGGTGCAAGATATTCAAGTTGGTTGGAGTTGGTGTGTATAAAAGAGAGGCGGCGCAGAGTGACAGATCCTGGCCAGCAGAGAGAGCAGTTGTGTCCACTACCAGATATGATGGTTGGGGATGGCCAATGGTGGCCTTGCCACAATTTTCAATAGCAACCTATCTTATGCCTAGATGCAGCCACACATCAAAATCAGGGTTCCTGTGGATCCTTAAAAAGTCTTAAAATTTATTGAATGCATCAATCAAAAAAAATAAAGCCTTAATCAGCTTTAAATTGTCTTAAATCAATATTTTAGAGGTGTTTAACAAGTTGTAGCTAAATAGGATGATTGTAATTAATCTAAAAGTTAAAAATTTAAGTAACATTTATTTTTTTTTAAAAATTACCGAGTGCCTTTTTTTTCCGATATGTGTTTATTGTGATGTTGGTTTTATATTTTATTTCAAGTGACATTAAAGAGGTCTTAAAAAATCTTAACTTTAACTTACCTTAAGCTGTAGGAACCATGAAAATAAAAGTCAGTACCTGACTTGTTTTTCAAATTATCCAGCTCACAAGACAGACGGATGGATGGAGAATGCTTTCCTCTGCAACTAGGAGAAAAAATAAAACAGAGTATCAAACCTCACACTGTCCAGAAAAACATGGCTCTAGGTGGTAAATGGGCATTTCTGCAGTCCCAGCCAGTTCCTCATCAAAAATATTTGCTGCACTGTCAAATAAATAATACAACCTGCTAGTATCTAAACTGCTAAGCTGCTATAATTCTGCTGTATCTCAAGTAAAACTGAGTCTATATTCAACTGTCTGACAGACAGCAAGTGCTTCCCTCAGTTCCTAAACTGACAGTGTCCTCTAAAACTTTTCGGACCAGTTTTCATCCAGACAAGAGCATCCAATGGTTCCTGAGGGGTCTGGTACTAGGACATTGCAGGGGTTAGACTTTTTTTTTATATATTTTTATATATATACGGTAATTTATCACTTAGTGTTTGGTTCAACTCAAGAACTAGCTGCCTACATCACCAGCATCACCTACAAACTTGGCATCTGAGAACATGACTTCTCTGTAGTTTTGAGACATGCCTCATTACTTTTGTCCTCCAGGTGCCTTCATGCTTCCATACTTTATCATGTTGGTGTTCTGCGGCATTCCTCTCTTCTTCCTGGAGCTTTCCTTTGGTCAGTTTGCCAGTCTGGGTTGTTTGGGTGTCTGGAAGATCAGCCCTATGTTTAAAGGTGAGCAATGAACATGTTTATGTATACAAAGTTATTGTGGAATTGCTACACACATTTTGTTCTCACCTTCTGCCTTTTTTTTTTTCCACACTCTTCTTTAGGCGTGGGCTACGGCATGATGGTGGTCTCTACCTACATTGGGATCTATTACAACGTGGTCATTTGCATCGCTTTCTATTACTTCTTTATGTCCATGACAAACCTGCTGCCATGGACGTACTGCAACAATCCCTGGAACACGCCCGACTGCAGCGGTGTGGTAGGCAGTGGTGCCCAGCTCAATGGCAGCCTGGTGAACGTCACTAACAGTTTGATCACGGAGGCTTATGAGGGGATCAATCGTACCAAGAGGACCAGTCCCAGTGAGGAGTACTGGAAGTAAGAACTAGAAGTTCAGCCCTTTTTTACTAAATATTGTTTTTTGTAAACACACTAAAATTTAAAGTGCCTGTGACGTCCAATTTTTGTTATACACATGAATGCATTTTTGGAAATAGGACGTTGATAAAATATTGCAAAAGAAATTTGATGTCGCTGAGATGAACAGTTGTTGAGATATTTGCCTGTGAARHAAYAGGAAGTGATGTCAAAGGGGAATGTCTGCATGTGAACAGAGCATTGCTAAAATGGCTAACAACCCAGCCTGTAGAGAAGAATCTGATGTTCCTTAAGATTATTTTGAGTCACTATCAGAGAGAGATGAAGAGTCAGAGTTCAAATAGTATTGTTTCAATAAATAAAGACCAGAGAGTTTTCTTTGTTTAAGAGTTCCCCTTTGATGCCACTTCCTGTTTCACTTTGGCTGAGCCAAATTCAAAAGAAAATATGCCAGTTATGAGACAAAATGAGTTAAATCGTGTGTATTGTTCCAACTTTCTTAAATTTAAAGATGTTTTCTTTGACTTTTTGTATTTGAAGAATATGCATGTCACAGGCACTTTAACTTCACGTTTTCTAAGAGCCTGTCTTACATCCAGATCTGCAACAGAACATAACTTACAAAATAACAAATTTACTTCTTACTGTGTAAGCTGTGAGACAAATTGAACAACATGAATATAAAATAAAACATTAAACATCTTGTAATGCAGCATCAAACTGTACAATAACAATACAAATCTGAGACAATGACTAAAAAACAGCCTGCAGATAACCCAAATTTAAACCTATTTTCCCAGGCAAAGTACTAATAAACTTTGAATGCTGGTTACAAATAGTCTGTACAGTTATATCTCTGAGGATGCATGCCATTATACTTATTACATGAAAACCCTTGAAAATTTTCCAAAACTAAATTAACTGGGGCAAAAGTATTGGGAAAAGTGAAATGATAAAGATTTTACAAAGGGGCATTTTAAACGTTTGAAGCTCTATATCTGCTATTAGAGCGTCTTGTCAGAAGGGGGTGCCGCAGCCTCTTTGGCATGCCTCGTTCCAGCATCCCTGTAGACGTTTTTTTTTTCTTGTACCTGAGCGATTCAGTGCAGTTCAATATTGACTGTCGATATAAATATACTCTGTTTAAACTTGAGTATTTTGACTTCAAGCATCAGACTGATGTAACTCATCATTGACACAAATCCATTTTGTTTTCCCCAGTTAAATAAGCTTGACTCAAACCTGTTCTGTGTTTGTGGAAAGAGTTCAAATATTTGAGCTAAATTTGACTGGAAATACAGCAGCTTTTACATGCTGTGCCATCTGTAGTAACATGCAGGAGGTTCTCCTTGTTGTAATGTTCTGTGTCGTTTTAAGATGCATCCTAACAGTCAGTATAACCTGTGCCTTGACTTCTTCATTATTAAATTTTGTTCAGACTTTATTTTGGGGAAAGCCACTTATGGGAGCGTGTAAGAAGACAAAAGAGTAAGAGTTCTTGGATGATCTGCACTGATCAGCTCAAAGCAGATTTAGACGTTGGCATAAATATGTTAGATCAAAGTGCAGTTCTTACCTCCAGGCAATGCTGAAAATCTGAATGTATTCCCAGGCTAGAATCCCTCAGCTTAATCTGTCTTCAGCCTGATCTCTACGCTCTCCCGAAAGCACCTGTAACCTGCCATTTACTACACTAAAAACTCAAAATACTACACTGCTTTGAGCAAAGAAAACAACATCCAACTGCAACATTTTGTCCATTTTAAAGTTTTGTTTACCTTTTTGAACGTCACAAAGACTTCCCACCTTCTTTAAGATGATTAATATACTGTAAAGCCAGACGGGTATTTGCTTTTCTAAAAAACAAAACAAACACTATTTAGCCAATCCTGCGTAATCTCCAAGTGCACTCTTTTCCTCTCTCAGGCACTACGTGTTGAACATCTCTGATGATATTGGAAACTTTGGAGAGGTCCGTCTTCCTATCCTGGGATGCTTGGCCGTATCCTGGTGTGTTGTCTTCCTCTGTCTCATCAGGGGCGTTAAATCATCTGGAAAGGTCAGTCTGCAGAAACAAAAAGATGTTAATTTACCATATGGTTCTTAAATCCACTGATAAACAGAATGTAAATAAAAGTATTTTGGGCTCTCTGGTGACAACCTGATTCCAACAGCTTGCGTGATTATTATGTGTCCAGGTGGTGTACTTCACAGCCACATTCCCATATGTGGTGTTGACCATTCTGTTCATCCGTGGCATCACCCTGGACGGAGCCATAAATGGCATCAAATACTACCTGACTCCACAGTGGCAGAAGGTCCTGGATGCAAAGGTCTGTACTGATAAGCTCAAGTGTAAAACGTGAAGTCAGAGAATGATTTATTTTCTTTTACAGCATTTCAGTTTGTTTGTGCATTTCTTTCTTTAGGTGTGGGGAGATGCTGCCTCACAGATCTTCTATTCCCTGGGCTGTGCCTGGGGGGGTCTCATCACCATGGCTTCTTACAACAAGTTTCACAACAACTGTTTCAGGTTAGTTCTCCACTCTGAGGATAAACTTTGAAAAGTGAGACTTGCATCCACCTTTTACCTAACTCCCATGGTGCTTTGCATGAATTATGGGAACGATTTCTGGCGCGAACCAGAACTGTCGTCTGTTTATGTGCGAAATGAGATGACACGATTTTCTCTGAGAGCTGTGGATTTAAAAATGTGGGACTACCATCTGACAGAGCTCAAAAAGGACAATACCACTTTCAACTGCTGTCAAGGGATGGGAGGATGACCTGAAGAAGTGGCTGCGGGTGACATATAGTAGCATATTTGTGTCCTATCACATCGAAATGAGGATTAAGTCCAAAAGTGGAATATGGAAAAATAGGCAGGTATAGGGTTTCGATTTAAACGTGTGCAAAAATTGCATTTTGTCAGTATATAATGAATAAATGCCTTATCAATGTATCATTTGAATGAAGTGTCTGAAATATACAC